CAGGATGTCTGGCTCTAGGTGAGTGATCACACCATCGTGATTATCTGGGTCGTGAAGATCTTTTTTGTACAGTTCTGTGTGTTCTTGCCACCTCTTCTTAGTTTCTTCTGCTTCTGTTAGGTCCATACCATTTCTGTCCTTTATTGAGCCCATTTTTGCATGTAATATTTCCTTGGTATGTTGAAGCAATCTCTAGACTTTCCCATTCTATTGTTTTTCTCTGTTTCTTTGCACTGGTCACCGAGGAAGGCTTTCTTATCTCTTCTTGCTATTCTTTGGAAGTCTGCATTCAAATAGGTATATCTTTTCTTTTCTCCTTTGCCTTTCGCTTCTGTTCTATTCACAGCTATTTGTGAGTCCTCCTCAGACAGCCATTTTGCCTTTTTGCATTTCTTTTCCTTGGGGTTGGTCTTGATCCCTGCCTCCTGTACAATGAAATGAACCTCCGTCCATAGTTCATCAGGCACTGTGTCTATCAGATCTAATCCCTTGAATTTATTTGTCACTTCCATTGTATAATCGTTAAGGGATTATATTTAGGTCATACCTGAATGGTCTAGTGGTTTTCCCTACTTTCTTCAATTTCAGTCTGAATATGGCAATAAAGAGTTCATGATCTGAGCCATAGTCCTCTCCCGGTCTTGTTTTTGCTGACTGTATAGAACTTCTCCCTCTTTGGCTGCAAAGAATATAATCAATCTGATTTCAGTATTGACCATCTGGTGATGTCCATGTGTAGCGTCTTCTCTTGTGTTGTTGAAAGAGGGTGTTTGCTATGACCAGTGCATTCTCTTGCCAAAACTCTTATTAGCCTTTTCCCTGCTTCGTATTGTACTCCAAGGCCAAATTTGCCTGTTACTCCAGGTATTTCTTGACTTCCTACTTTTGCATTCCAGTTGCCTGTAATGAAAAGGACATCTTTTTTGGGTGTTATCCATGTTGCTGCAAATAATGTTGTTTCATTCTTTGTTATGGCTGAGCAATATTATGTTGTATATATGTACATGTCTAAGTTACTTTAGTTATTTTGCTGCTTTATGACTTCAGTAATTGGTCTAATTTTATGCTTGCTCTCTTCCCCCAGTGATTTTTTATAGTAATGTTTTTAACAGTTAATAGTATGAATTCTTAATATTTTAAATTATATTTGTATTATTTTACCTCAAACCCCCATGTCTTTTATTTTTCTTGGTGGATTTCAATGACTTTACTTTAGCATCATGCATACATTGAAACTGTTTTTATTTCTCTTAGAGGGGTACAGATAATTTCCCTGAGATTGTTTTGTTACTCTCAGACTCCTAAGCCTGTGTAAAAGCTTGAAAGTGCTCCTTTGTAGAATTCTATTACAATTTAAATGGGTACTCACTCCCCTGAGCACACTTGTGCACAGATGTGCATGTGTGCACATGCACACTCACACACTTAACTTTCACATATGCAGAGCCCTACGGGTCCAGAAGGACTGAACCATGACTGCACTGATATTTTGAGGACGTAGAATAAGGTTCATTAGGTTAAGGTTACTGGTTTAGAAAGAATGTACAAGTTTTACCCCTTCTGATTGTAGGATCATGAAGTGAAGTCGCTCAGTCATGTCTGACTCTTTGTGACCCTGTGGACTGTAGCCCACCAGGCTCTTCCATGCATGGGATTCTCCAGGCAAGAATACTGGAGTGGGTTGCCATTTTCTTCTCCAGGGAATCTTCCCGACCCAGGGTTCGAACCCGGGTCTCCCGCATTTCAGGCAGATGCTTTAGCCTCTGAGCCACCAGTGATCATAATTGGTAACAAAAGACCCTACAATTTTCTGATACTGAGGATGAGAGTAAATTATCTTTGAAAATGTATTTTTATGTTTGCAAACTATATCTAAAAAATGAGTCAGTAGAATGAAGAAAATTAAGAACTAGTGTAACAACAAAGTATGATCTTAGACCTTTAAATAGTTTGTCAGGTTACATTGTACAAGTCACTTATCTTGTTTTCACATTTGTGAAGTACTTAACGCTGAATTACTTCAATTATACAGATTCTACATTCTGTATTATACAGTTATACAGGTTCTACAAAGCTTTGGCCTCTTCAGTGCAGGTGTAATGGGCAGATGGGACTTGTGAGGCCTTTGCCTATACTGTGCTGTAGAGAACTCAGTCACTTGGACTTCGATCATTTTAAATGTAAACAGAAAACAGCAAGTTCAGAGAGAACTGCTTCTTCTTTGAGTACTGTGCATACTACTGTTTCTGATTTTAAAAAAAGCAAAGCAAGCTCCACCTCTGCTCTCTAAGAACATTTGAAACAAACCCATAGAAAATATAAATGAAAAAAGTTTTTCATTAAGATTTTTCTCCTTTGAAACATTGGGAGTGTGTGTATAAACATTTTGACCCTGAATCTCTAGCGCTGATAACTTTATGAACTTGTTGTTTAGTCCATTAAGTCATATCTGACTCTCTTGCAACCCCATGGACTATAGCCCACCGAGGCTCGTCTCTCCATGGGATTTCCCAGGCGAGAAGACTGGAGTGGGTTGTCATTTCCTCCTTCTTGGGATCTTAAGTTTATGGCGAGGATCTCTTTAGCTGTGGCTGCTTTTTGAGTAGCTTATATGAATAGGCTTAAAGAGTGATCTGAATTAAGTGAGAGTATATAGCTCAGTAGATCTTAGCCATTTCAGAAGTGTTTGAAAGAGGGGGAAAGAAAGGATGAACATAATATACTTTCACTTACAAATGCTTTTACACTCTCACATATATCCCTGTAGCCTTATTTTGAGAGCAAATATAGGCTGATGATTTGCCATGTAAACATCTACACGATCTACTAAAATAGATTCTCCACTTATTTAATGAAAATATCTCTTAAGTTTTGCTCATTTGTTTATTTAGATTCAAAGCAAACTAATTTCATAAAAATGCAACTGCTTCAACATTTGTGACTTAATGTATAAGGGATTCCATAGTTGTCGATCAGTTACACATTGACCCATAAGGTAATATGTGAACTTCAATTATAATGCCTGAACTTTGTAAATGTACTTCTTTTCACTAGAAAACTGTTGCCAATAAAGAGTTTCTGGTGAAAAAATTTTAGTAGAGCAGGATTTACTGACTTGTTACTTATTTTTCATTGGCTACTTTCATTGGCTAGTAGGAAATTCTTTTGGATTATTATCCAGCTGACAAATACATTAAGTGAAAGATAAGTGATACCTGAATCTTATGGGGAGAAAAAAGGAAAACAGTTTAAAATATTGCCATTTTATATCTTTTTGTATAGATAGCTTACTATGTAAAATTAGGCTTTTGGGACATCCTAAGACAATCTACCTTAATTTTTACAGGAGAGCACCTCTGAGAAGGTAAGGGATTTTCCCAAAATCATATGATTAAAAGCAGAGTAAGGGTTAGAATTCAGGTATTCCAACTTTGAGACTCTTCCCTTTCTCCCCAGTCATCCATTCCATTCTGCTCTTTATTCATTATCAGGCAACATCTTCTAGTCTGAAAAACCAAATCACATTTTTCTAAAAGCTTATATTTTAAAATCTTTTAAACAGGCTGCATATTTTTACTCAAAATCAGTGACTAGAGATTTAGACTTCTAGAGTAAAGCCTGTTAGGCATGAAAATTAACTTTTAGACTATGAACAACTTAGTAGCACTTTTTTTCTTAAATTTTTTTTTGTCTCACATTAGAATACTTAGATGTAAAGCATTATTTATTTATACAAAAGGCTCTATTCATTTTTTTCTGTAGCTATGTGGAAATATTTTTTGCTCTGGAAAGATATATAAAATATTCTTTGGCATTAAATGATTAAAATTGGAACTTTTTTTTTACAAGTTCTATTTGTGGACACATAATTTGTTAGTTCATTTTCTACTTTAACTTTAGAATGGGAGTAGTTTTTGAATAATTAGGATGTAGGAGAATCAGTTAAGGTCAGTAAATCATTTCTTTTAAAATCCATGGAGCAGAATTTTTATATGTTATATTATCAGAATTTTCCATCTGTCAGTCTATGTTTTGTAAATGTTTTCCCCACCACAGGAAAATTAACAAAGCTAACAATTGGGGGATCATTACTTTCTTTTTAAAAGACGTATCAGGAATTTAAAATATAAATAAATTGGAGGTATAGAGGAGCACTCAAAGTTGTAACTAACTTGTGGACTTTAGTAATGATCCAAGACCATAGAGGTTGAGGGCTACAATCTGTGTTTATATGCACGGTCTTAGCATCAGTTACAGAAGTCTCATAACAAATGCATTTTAAAAAATTATAGCTTACTAACTTCATTAATTAAAATCCTCTTGATGAAAGTTATTTTATCTTAGAAGGTAGCCTTAGACATTCTCCTTTAATTTATTGATTTAGAACAAAGTGTTTGAAAAAGCATATGAAAAGCTTTGGAATGGTGTCCAACTTACTGATGATATTTTTCTGTTTTTATAGTTTATAAGGCTGAGTACTTTAAACTCCTTTTTGAATGGAATTTTACTTCAGTAATAAGTAGTATTCTGTCCAAAGGGTGTCAACATTTTGTAATGTCGAGGCTTCACTGTGGTCTAAAGTGGTACAACATTTTAATTTGGAAAGTTGGTCAGGGACATCCATATGATGGTATACATTTCCCATTGCTTCCATGTTCTACTAAATTGGGATGAAAAATACATTAAGATTTACGTTAAACTAGATGTTTTCAAAGTTGATGGGGGAATTCCCTGTCAGTCCAGTGGTTAGGACTCAGTGCTTTCACTGCCAGGGCCTGAATTTGATCCCTGGTCAGAAAATTAAAATTCTTCAAGTAAAAAAAAAAAAAAAAGGTTGAGCAGTCAGGGGAAAAGGGTTTGGGGTGGGGCTTATGGAATTTGGGACTCCAGGGTGACAGGTGGGGGAGGTCAAAGCAGCCCTTATATTATAAATAGAAGGGAAATTTTGATTGGAACCTTTAGGTCACATGATTCTTTCCCTTTTTTTGTGTGTGTTACAGGCAAAGGGGAAGATAGCGATGTACTCAGTATAAATGCAGACGCTTATGACAGCGACATAGAAGGCCCCTGTAATGAAGAAGCAGCTGCTCCTGAGGTCCCAGAAAATACAGTCCAGAGTGAAGCTGGTCAGATAGATGACCTGGAGAAAGACATTGAGAAAAGCGTGAACGAGATTCTGGGACTTGCAGAGTCTAGTCCAAAGGAGCCCAAAGCCGCCACCCTGACTGTTCCTCCGCCGGAAGATGTTCAGCCTTCGGCGCAGCAGCTGGAGCTGCTCGAACTTGAAATGAGGGCCAGAGCTATTAAAGCCCTGATGAAAGCTGGTGATATAAAAAAGCCAGCCTAGTTTATTTAAGCTGTGTCTAAATATTGGATGTGTTTGAGCAATGCCATACCATATCATTTTGTATCTAAAGTTTATTTGGTGTTTTACCTGATATTTCTCATATAACTCTTACTAGATAAACTCATTTTAGATCTAAAATACATGTTGTTGTTGTTGTTACTTTTGTATTATGTAAGTGTTTTTTGAATTCACGACACATATCATTGGGTAATCTAGATACTTTGTTAGATGAGTATTTAGTATATCTGCAAATTAATATCTGAAAAGCCATTAGCTAAAAAGAGTCATGATATTTTTTTCCTTTATTTTGAAATATTTTGGCATCAAACCAAAAAGTTTATGAAAGATTGATCAAGCATGTTGCCTTCAGGCTACCTATATTTTGCAATAGAATATTAAATTATTGCTTCTAGGTATATTAACAATTTAAGTTGGGTTATGTTTATATGCACTTTTAAAATATGTACCATTTTGAAGATGCCTTTTATGGGTATAGACTTAGTAAAAACTGAACAACATTTTTGTTACAAGACGGAGATCCAAAATGGCTGAGCAAACCTTTTTTATAAAAAAGGGGAAAAAAGGACTTAGTTTAAAGCATTTTTTAACAACGTCAAATTAATTGTCCAACTGTAATTCCAGCAAGCAAGCCATTCTAACAGGTATTTGATACTGTTGAACTCTTAGTTCAGTTTTTTTCCTTCAATAAAAAGGGCACACATTTTCATTTACATTCCAGGCAGTTAGGAGAAGGAGACTATTTTATTGTACAGGCTTTCATCTAATGTTTTTGCTTGAAAATCTTATGTGCTATAATTCCATGAATTAAAAATCATTAAGACTATCATTGTGGATCTGAGGACTTTTTGATAGATTTCCAAAAATGAATTTAACTTCAGGAAGTTTTGATAAGTGGATGTAATAATTAATCTAATTTTGAATAGTTTTTGTAAATAGATTAACATCCTGCGAATGCTTTTTGTCCCATCACTAATTGTAGTTGTTTGATATCAAAATAAATGTAGGTAGAGACTATTAACTTAAAATAAATTTTTTTTGTAAAATATAAATCTGAAACTGTTGTTTTTATATTTGCTAACAAATATAGTATATTTATAAGGCATGTTCTGTTGGTGTTGTGTGAGGATTTTCCTTATACACAAAAGAACTTAGAGGGATTGTGTCTTTTTAGGTGGCTTAATTATATATACATTTTAGAGGATCTCTTTTGGAAATAGTACTTGGGCTTCCCTGATAGCTCGGTTGGTAATCTGCCTACAATGCAGGAGACCCCAGTTTGATCCTGGGTGGGGAAGATCCGCTGGAGAAGGGATAGGCTACCCACTCCAGTATTCTTGGACTTCCCTTGTGATGCAGCTGATAAAGAATCTGCCTGCAATGTGGAAAACCTGGGTTTAATCCTTGGGTTGGAAAGATCCACTGGAGATAGGGAAAGGCTACCCATTCCAGTATTCTGGCCCAGAGAATTCCATGGATTGTATAGTCCATAGGGTCACAAAGAGTCAGACACGACTGACTGACTTTCACTTTCTTTTTCACCTATGGAAATAGTATATATGAAACACTGGAGTAGCAGTTACAAATTCATTTTTGTTGTTCCTGAACATGCCTTTAAATAATCCTGTCATTTCTTTTTTCTTGCTGAATCTTTGTAATGAAGCACAGAGGCCTGTATCATTTGAAATGCTTCTCTTAGGCTGATAAACCTGGGTATGATTTAAATAGTTCTCATAGTTACTGCTTCAAGATGAAAAAAATCAGTTTCTATTTCCACTTACACTAAAAGTTAAAATGATAACAAAGTAGTGCAGAGTAAACTTTATTGCTACTTACTAATTATAAAATGCAGTAGATGACATTTGTGTGATCAAACATAGAGGAGAAGAAAGAGGTCTGAGTGCTTTGTAGCTGATTAAAGTCACCACCTTCATGAAGCATTGTGTGCCTGCTGTATTCACTGTGCAGAATGCTTTAGAGTACATTTGACTAGAGTGGGTGTATGTGAGGAAGAATGAGTTGAACAAATTAGGCTACTTAGATTCCTACCTTGGAAAATCAACTTTTTTTTTTTTTTGTAATGTTAAAAGACATGAGAGGTTTTTGCAAATGAGTGGCTTTAGAGAATAGGAATAAGGTTATTTTAGAAATGCCTAAGTAATGGGTAAATACCATATATTGATCTAATGCTGTCATTTAATCATCAGCTCACAGGTATTTATTGACTACCTCTAAGGTGTTTAGTCTTGTTCAGAATTTTAAACTGTTATGGTGTAGGAATGTTATGGTGTAGATTTTAGCATGGAATAGACTGATTAATAAACATGAGTGCTGCTTCATTTTATGCCTAATTCTTCCATTTTGTCAATGTAAAAAAAAAAAATTTAGTTCATGTTTAATTAGTGACCAAGAGGAAAAAAAAATGGCAGTCTAATTCTTCATCCAAAGTCAGGTAATACTGATATTTGACTAGGAACTTTACCTGAATCTTAAATGATTGGTGGTATCTGGTATAATGGGTCCTTTGCAGTAGGCCTTGGCCCACTTTTTGGTGTTCCTACTAATCCACGTGCTCAAGATATATCCTGAAAACCTATCCCTGAATGACCAGTGTAATATACTAATTATGAAAAATCACCTAAGCCTCCCAAATCGTTTTGTTGAACGCCATCAATTCCTTAAAACTATAGGGCAGTGTATCTTTTCCTTATAAATCTTGTTAAAACCTACTTTCAGGAAATCATTAGATCCTAGGGCATGATTAGCTATCTGAATAAGAGAATCATTTGGACAGTAATACAAATTGCAATAAAACATTTTTCAATGCCATTTCAAGATCGATAAAAGCAGAAGTGAACCCACAATTTAGGCAAAATATAGATGGCAGCCTGAGATATTTAAAAACTATCAGTTTTATGTCATAAAAAGTAGGAAAAGAGTTTGGTTACAGATACTTTCCTTTCGTTGTATCTGTTTGTTTAAAAGACCAACATGCTTTTTACCTTAAAACTAATAGATATTTTTATATATTTTTATCTTCAAGTAGACTCCCTTTTTAAGTAAAAAGTGCTGAGAGATTCGGTTTCCTTGATATTTAATTATTTAAAAATTATATTTAGTTATTATTTTATCATTTGTGATAAAAATGAAAAGGGTGTGAGAGTTAAAAACAGAGGTTCTGATTCTGCCCCAGCCAGCTGTGTAACTTTGAATAAGTATCTATTAACAGTTGAGATGAATCATTCACTGACATATAAGGTTCCTTTCTGCTATAACTGGGCTTCCCAGGTGGCCCAGATGATAACGCGTCTGCCTGCAATGTGGGAGACCCGGGTTTGATCCCTGGGTCAGGAAGATTCCCCTGGAGAAGGAAATGGCAACCCGCTCCAGTACCCTTGCCTGGAAAAGGGAGGAGGAGCCTGGTGGGCTACAGTCCATGGGGTCACAGCGAGTCGGACATGACTGAGCAGTTTCACCTTCCTTTCCTTTCTGCTATAACATCCTGATTACAACAGAAAATACCATAAGAGTTGTAAAACTTAGCAAGTAGTTTTGCTTCCCAGATGGCTCCAGTGGTGAAGAGCTTGCCTGCCAGTGCAGGAGACTTTGGAGACACAGGTTCAATCCCTGGATCAGCAAGACCCCCGGAGGAGGGCACGGCAACTCACCCCAGTGTTCTTGTCCGGAGAATTCTGTGGACAGAGAAGCCTGGCAGGCTATGGTCCATTGGGTCGCAAAGAATTGGACAAGACTGAAGCGACTTAGCACATCACAACACCGAGTATTTCGAGTTCAAGTATTTCTTAAGGCTTCCCTTCTTTCCCCTTTCCCCTTTCACAATGAAACAGTCTAAACTGTCTTTGTCCCATATAGTTGCTAGATATGAACAATAATCAAGTTTTTTTTTTCTTTTACCTAGGCTTTATTGTCAGGGTCACTTGGTAAGTATACTCTCTAGAATTGTTCACTTTGGCTTATAAACTTAGGTTGCTATCTTTAACCTACTGCTTTATTGTATTTCAAAATAATATGTAGATAGTTTTAAGTAAAAAAATTTTTTCCCAAGGCTTATAACAAAAAACAGTACTCCCCTATTCTTTTCGTACCAACTCTTGCTACTGAGAGGCAACCACTTTCAAATCTTTTAGCCTTCTTATAGATTATCTTTGTATTTCTAAGTAAAGTTATTTTTTGCCATTCCTTAATATTTCAGTCTTAGGTTTTATTTATTGGTCTATTTTGGAATATGAAAATTAAGCTATATTCCTTCTCTCTGTTCCCTAAAAATGTAGCTTCCTCTCTCATCCTCACAATACAGTGCAGTTATTGGGTTGGCCAAAAAGTTCTTTTGAGTTTTTTCTGTAACATGGAAAGTCCCCAACGGACTTTTTGGCCAACCCAATACATGATGGTTTTGGTTAAATTAGCATTCAGTATTTATACTATTTAGACTCTGTAAATATTATTCACAGCTGGGTTGTGTGGCACTTGTCATTAGATTCCCTTTTTTGTTCCAGTTTTTGTTTTTGGCTTTTTGGAATTCTTTTATAATGACCTTATTCCTTCTTTTGCTCAGTATTCTCTATAGTAGCTTTTAATTATACCCTGACTACCCTCCAGGAGCTTAACTTTGTTAGTAGGTTCAAACATATCATATAATCTTTTTTTTTTTTCCTTTAAAAACATTCCTCCTGGGACTCCCTGTCCTATGATACTCTGGATCGGTTGGTCTTCACCTCTCTCATGCTGAGTATCCCATTTGCTGAATCCTGTCTTCTTTCGTTTATTCCTTCAGTTTGGTGATGTACCTCTTCCAGTAGCTTCCTGTGAAAAACTGCATGAACGATCAATTATTTTGATTCATTGGTGTGACTCAGCATGTCTCAATTCTATCCATATCCTCAAATGAAACATTAACGTGAGTGTTGGCATTAGGCTGGAGGTCATTGTCCCTTTCTCTTTACAGCATTGCACGGTGCATG